CAGATTGAAGGCGGCGATTTTGGATGCTCTGACCGCTCGCAAAACCTTCGGTCCAGACCCCGGGGGGGGAGGGGGGCAAGGAGGGGTTTTAAGCCTCTCCCCGAAACGGCAGTCTCGCTCACTCCCACCTCCCCTCCCGCTACAGAAGGAGCACCTGCGTCTCAGCATTGGCAACGGTCGCTGTTGAATTGGTAGCCAGTGGACACCACAACTGACGCCATGCGCGTGACGCTCGCGAGGTATGCTGCGCGTGCCAGGTGCACCAGATGCGCCGCGGGTTCCACATTCGCCGGATGCGCTGTGTGCTTCACCCGCGCTAAGCGCGCGGCGCACGATGAGCGTGCCAAGTTTCAAAGTTCACGTGGCAACAGCCATCGGGAAACGTGTGGGATCCCGACCATGTTCGATCAAGAGGCGACGGGGTTGTCAGCACGGTGTATGGGGCGCGCATTTCCCCGCAAGCATATTACATTGGTGTTTGAAATTGGTGGTACGCCCGCACACCATAAAATATGTTGGACACCCCCACCAGCCCAGACAAATCACAATGCAACAATGCACATTGGTCGAGGGGCGCCCGCGCATGGTGAACTATTGAGCCAGCACGTGCATTTGTTTGCTAGGGGGGCAGAAACGTTCGGCCTGCACGCATCAGGCAAAATGCTGGCACCCTTGCCGTCCTTGCCAAATTATCCTGAGACGTACCTCGTCCATCTGCATGAAGGGACAAGGTGAGCTGGTCCATAAGAGTATGGCTGATGAGAACACAGCATGTGTCATTGGTTCTGCAATCTAGTTGCACGACTCACAGGGCAGCAACACAAGGACAAGGATTGAGACCCCAGGTTCGATGGGGAATTGGGGATGGGAACGAGGGGCAGGAAAAGGACGAAAGAGAGGCCGAATAGTTAACGCGACAGCAACAATGAGACGGTGGAAAGAGGAAGAGGACGACAACGAAAGAGGCAGGATGAGGATTTTTCAGTGGCGCGCTGGACAAGCAACGCGGTCCGTTAGATCTCGCTGTGGCGCCTCAGAGGACCAGTTCTTCAGAACAAGTGCAAGAAGCGAGCGAGGCCGAGCTCGCCCGCCAGCGTCCCTGCTTACTTCCTGCACCTTGTGGCTCGGGAGCTGAACGCCCGCAGGAGCGCCGCCAAGTCTTCGGGCGGCCCGCGGGAAAAGGAAATCAAAGCGAACCTGAGTCCGCGTAGGACGTCGCTACGCTGGGCCCCCAGCTGTTTTTGAGAGTGGCGACGGTTTCGCATTTCGCAACCATCCCAGGAAACGCGAGGTACAGTCAGAATCTGCGCAGCGCGTCACTCAGCTGGACCCCCCAGCAATCTTCGAAAGTGGCGACGGTTTCGCAGTCCACAGCACCCCCTCCAAGGATGGCGAGGTCGAGCGTGAATCTTCCTAGCGCGCCATTCCGCTGGGCCCCCCAGCAGCCCTCGTATCGGCAGTCTCGCAGCCCGCAGCCACCCACGGATGATGAGGTTTAACATGAGTTTGCGTAGGACGTCGGCCAGATGGACCCTCCAAACAGCCCCCGAACGCAAGGACATTTTCATTGTTCAGCAGCCCCCCCGAAGAGGGAGGGGTGCCGAGGTTTAGCTTGAGTCTGCGTAGGACGTCGTCACTCAGCTGGGTCCCCTAGCGGGCTTCAAAAGTGGCGACGGAAACGCAAATCGCACCCCCATGTGTTCTCCCACCCGGGGACGGCGAGGTCTAGTCCTGAGTTTGGGTGACCACCGTTCAGTTGGACACCCCCGGCAGCCTGCGAAAGTGCCGGCAGCTTCGAGGGGCGACCCCCCCCAGGGATGGCGAGGTCGATGCCAAATGTGCGTAGGACGTCACCCGGCCGGGCCCCCCCAAGCAACATTCGAGTTCGGCGACCGTTTCGGAATTCGCAGCCTTCCTGGGGTGACGAGGTCGAATCTAATGCCGTGAAGGAGGTCCCCCAGCTGGACCCCCCAGCAAATATCGAAAATGGCGACAGTTTCGCAAGTTCGTCCCCCCCCCCCCTAGGGATGGCGAGGTCGAGCCTGGGCTTGCGCGCGACGTCACTTAGCGACACCCCTTTGGTGCAGTCCCCGAGAAGTGGCGGTCGCGTTTCAGATCGCAGCCCCCAGGTGTGTAGTCTGCTGCCGCGCAGGACGTCGTTCAGCTGGACCCTTACAGTAATCCTCGAACGTGGCGACAGTCTCGCAGCTCGCAGCCTCCCAGAGACGGCGTGGCCGAATTTAGAAAAAGGCGGGAGGATGACGTCGCGACCGCAGTGCTTTGCTCAAAGCCACAACCCAACGCTTGAATGGTGGGAAACAAATATACGTAATGTGATCGCATGGCGCCCCAACGTGAACCAGATTTTGCCGCAACGTGAATGCTGAAGTGTTCCCGGACCATCGGTGTGGTTTGTGCTTTGGTCTGGTGCCCCCGCGCAATCCTCACTACCCCCTTTTGCATAACGCCACCATCACCATCATAAGCACCATCATCATCGTCACCATTGTTGTCGCCATCATCATCACCATCATCATCATCATCATAATCGCCATCGTCATCGTCATCGTGGTCGTCGTCATCATCATTACCACCATTGGCAACAATATCATCACCATCATCGGTCAGTTCCCATCACACCGTCACCATCGACACAGCCACCACCATCATCATCATCATCACCATCATCATCATCATCATCATCATCATCATTATCATCATCAGCCGCAGTATCTTCACCAGCAACATCATCATCCCACACGCTCGTGCACACATCCGCAGGAAGACTCGAGCGGGAGCCCCGTCTGTGAGTGAAGCTTGAAGAAGTCTCGAGCGGAAGCCCTCTCGTTCTCGGGGCCCGCGGAGCATATTGTTAATTCGAGGGGGTCATCCAGAACGTTTCGTCGTCGTCGCTTGTGGGCGCGCTAGGCTCGCATCCTGAGCAGGTGTCGATCGGAAGCCTCGTTTGTGAACGGGTCGCTTCGAGAGGGAACCCTCTTCCTTTTCGGGGGCCACGAAATGCGTGATCACTTTGAGGGGGGTCGCCCAGAACCTTGAACTGTCGTCACTTTCGGGCTCGTGGGTCTCCAGTGCTCAGAAAGTTCCGAGCGGGAGCCTTGTACAGTGGGGGCGCGCATCAAGAAACCATCTATTTTTCGTTAGGGTACTCTGGGTTTCTTCGCTCCGCGCGATGCGTGGTGACTTCCCGCGGGTGTTGAATGAGCTGCTGCGTTCGGAGTGTGCCGGGTCTCCTCTCAGTTGCACCGCACGCGCGGGTTTTCAGGGGTGGGTTTCTTGCGAGGGTTTCTTGCGACCGCGCCCGCGCTTCATGTGAGAGAGCCGCAAGAAGTCTCGAGCGGATCATGGGGCGTTTTGATGGGGCGTGTGAGGGAGCCGCAAGAAGTCTCTTGCTACCGCGCCCGCGCTTTATGTGAAAGAGCCGTTTTGATGGGGCCCGCAGATCATGTAAATAACCCGGGCGGGGTCCAGAACAAGCAGGGGTCGTCAGGCTTGGGTTCTTCATGCTTGAATTTGGGGGATGGTCCGAGTGGGAGCTTTGTTTGTTAACCGCGAGGACGTCTCGAGCGGCCGCAGATCATGTTTCCAGTCCGAGGGGATCAACCGAAACCTGTAGCTGTCGTCACGGTTGGGCCTGTGAGGCCGGATTGTTGACAAGGTCTCGAGCGGGAGCATGTGTGAATGAACCGCGCTAAAATATCGAGCGGGAGCATTCTTTTTCATGGGGCGCGCAGATCATATTATTTGTTTGAGGGGCCATCCAGAAACTGTGATTGACGTCACTTTTGAGCTCCTCAAGCTCGAATCTGGAGGGAGTCTCGAACGGGAGCCTCGTCTGTGAACGATTCGCGGGGGAGTCTCAAGAGGGATCCCTCTCCTTATAGGGCCCGCAGATCATGTTACCAATTCGAGGAGGTCATCCAGAACCTTCAGCCGTCGCCACTCTTGGTTTCGCGAGGCTTGAATGTGAAGGACGTCTCGAGCGAAAGCTTCGCCTGTGGGTGCATCGCGAGGAAGTCTAGAGCGGGGGCCATCTCCTTATGGGGCCCACATCTCCATGATCGAATCCGAGCGGGGCCACTCGAAGCCTTGTACCCACCCGTTACTCGCTCATACTCGCACTCACACTCTTATTTACTCGCGATCAGACTCACTCACGCTCAGACGCGCTCATACACAAAACCATTCTCACTCAGACTCACTCGCTCCTTCACCATCCCAATCAAGTTCCCTCTCACTCAGGCTCACTCATACCCAGACTCACTCGTGCTCAGACAGACTCATACGTAGATTTGTCCCCGCGCGGATTTACCTATACTCAGCCTCACTCATACTCAGACTCACTTCTACTCGGACTCACGCACACTCCGGTTCACTCACGCTCAGACTTATTCGCATTCTGACGCGTTCGTACACAATGATTCGCATTCAGACTCACTCGCTGGCACGCGCTCACAACCAGACGTCTATTCGCTGAGGCTCAATTCTATCCAGGCTCACTCAGACTCAAAAGCTTGACGCGTAGAGTTATTCCACTCAGATTTCCTTCTGCGCAGCCCCACTCATACTCAGACTCACTCGTATCCAGACACACGCACACCCCGATTCAGTCAGACTCAGTCGAAACAGTTTTTCATGCGGGGTCCGACCGTCGAAATTATTTTCTTGTTGGCCAGGATGGTGGGGGGTGGTTTGCATTGACCCTGGTTTGTGTCCGGCCGAGTCACAGAGGGGTATGTTTCTTAAGATAAAGCAGTGACGCGCCCCTCGTGAAAGGACTCAGCAGAAGGAGCTCGCGAAACCACCTACGCTCAGAGACCTGGTGGGAGTCGTTGGAGCGGGGATGGGGCGGGGGGTCTCCGCTTCGATCAGAAATGTTCGACGAATTGTTGTAGAACATAGGCCTTCTCTTCCCGCCTCCTCTGTTGGCGAGCGCGCCACCGACGCCGCGGGCGCGCCCGAAAGCATGTATGTCCCAGGAGTGCCGTGGTCTCCGACGCGTGCCTGCTGGCGCTGGCCATAGGCGGAGCGCGTTTTGCAGGGAGGAGGAAGGGGAGGAAAAGGAGGAGGAGGAGGAGGAGGAGGAGGAAGAGGAGGCAGACCACCGTAGACCAAAGATGCATAGGCGATGCTGCCATACACCCCTTCAGTCCCAAGTCCCCTCCTCATACGCTCCATACAAATCCTCCTCTTAACCACAGGGGGTGCCCTCCTTCAAAGAACAACACGCGTGGGCCCGCCAGAATGGCGGGGGCTCCGCCCTGAAACGAGACTGCCTTGCACTGCTCTCGCGCGTAATGGCGAGCGGGGCGAAGCATGGGTAGGTGTAGTGTAACGAGGTGTCCAGAGAAATTCCCCTCTCGAAAAGGAAGGCCCCTTCTGCCCCCATTCGATTGAATGCTGCACACGTTTACACTTGTGGTCATGAGCTGCGAAAGCGTATCCAACGACGGCTCTACTTTGAGCAAGAGCAGCCAAGGATTTGTGCAGCGCTATGTGCGTTGAAGCTTCGGGTCGTCTGAACTGAACGCTGTCTCTGGCGAGAACTCCATTGTGAAAATGAAGAGTCCTCCATTCTGCTAAGCGTTGCGCAGGGAAATATTCGCGCGGCGCTGAGGCGAGAACCCTTGCAGCGGCTGGTGCTCAATCTTTGAAGGCGTTGCAAGTTTTTGAAAACGAATGGTCGCGGCGCCCAGGCCAAACCCTCGCTTTGAAAAGGATCCGCCCGTTATCCGTGAAGCTAGTGCAATTTTCAACGCCAACGTGCGCGGCACTCACCGATAGCCTCATTTTGAAAGCGAGTCCACCTTAAATCTCTGACCCGGTAGCAAAACGTGTGCGCGGCACGAAGGCATGAGCCACGTTTTGAAAGCTACACCCCCTACATCCGTGAAGCCGTTGAGGCGAATGTGCGCCGCGGTGAGGCGTGAACCACATTTTGAAATCAACCCCCTCCCTTACCATTCGTGAAATTGGTACGTGGTAAAGGTGGATGTGCGCTGCGCGACGGCGAAGGCCACATTTTGAAAACAGCCCCATCCACACCAGCGAAACGGCTGCAAACCTGCAAGATTAATGTGCAAGGCGCAAAGGGGAGAAACACCTTTTGAAGACGACACCCACTCGTCCAAAAAGTGTGCAGCAGCTCCCCTTCAAGGATGAAGGGGGGGGTCGTTTGCAAAATGTGGCTCTCGCCTGAGCGCCGAGAATATTCGCCTTGAACGTTTGCAGCAAGTTAACAGACTATAGTGGAAACCCATGCCAAGGACAATTGTGCTTGCCTCCAGGGTGCCCTGGGTTTCCTGGGTTTCGATGGTTTTGCTGTGGAGCGCGTGGTGTTCCCACTCCAAAAATGGACGTCCTGGGGTCTCAGGGTTGGGTCACTGGCGCTGGGCCGGCTCTCGGCGCTTGTCGCCAGTCCCCATCGGAACCGTGCGCTCTCGACCACATCTCGGCCTCGTGCGCCCCCCGCCCAAGGGGCGCTGGAAACTCGCCAGCCCCATTCTTGGGCCAAACGGCAATTATTGACACTTCGCGCATCCCCACCAGCGAGCGCCGCGCGGCCCGCCCCGGCTAGTCTCACCTCCCGCTGTTCTCTTGTTGTCGGTGTGCCGCATACCCCAGCCGCTCCAGGTGCACCACGCTCGGGGCACGTGCAGAGTGTGTCAGGTGCGCCCGCGCGCGTGACGGCACACATCATCGGCAAACATGTCGGCCCCCACCATCCTTGTCGAAACCAATGCCCATCATGGTGCCTGGTGGGCCTGCACATAGCAGGCCATGCGCTATCACCCCCGCCGCCCATTTCAAAAACCACCTGATAGTGATCGCTTCGTGGCCGCGCACGATCCAAATTTAGCCGCGGGGTGCATGTTGCAATGTTTTTGTTGGCAGGGATGATGGCCGTGCGCGCAGCAGGCAATATGCTGACTCCCCCGCCGCCCCTTCCCAACAAACAGTACAGAGTGCCCGCGGGCCTCACGAACATGATTCACTACTTTGCCTCAAAGTGTACTTTGCCATGTTTTTCGACGGGGATGGTGGAGGGGACCCGCATCGGGTTGGTTGCGCAGGCTCTGAATGTGGAGACATAGTATTTTTGGTATTGTTGTTTGTCAGGAATGGTAAGGGGGTGGGGAGCATACGTTCGGCATTGTTCCTGGTTGTCTGCCGGTCGCCTAGGGGAACAGTGATAAACCCTTCCGCCGCGCAGGGGAAGGAGGGTTTGTGGTAGAGAGAAGAAAATGTTAGTTAAACCACTTACGCCCAGAGGGCTTGTTGGCTTGTGGAAGAGCGTTGCGTGCAATATCTCAAAGTATGTTCAATGTGAGTCCACAACGTAGGACTGTATATCGGACGTCATCTTACAGCGCCTGACATGTGCCGCGTGGGCGTGGTCATTCCTGTCTGCCCCTCCCTCCCCCTCTTGGTGCTTGCAGTTTGTACTGTTTAGTCGGGAGTGCCTCGGCAGCTGTCCTTGCCGTGCGATTACACAAAATACATACCCTTCTGAATTGGATGGCGTCATAATGTATTAACAGCATGTTGTTTATAGCACGCGTCCAACATGCACCAGCGGCTGTACGAAACAAAACAGGAGGAGGTTGTGTGTACTCGGCCTCTTTCCATATTTCCCCCACCTATCGCCGTCTCGGATCGGGCATTGACTGGCTCTGTCCTGGAGACTGCTCCCCTGGAGGAAAACCTCATCGCCGTCGTCTCTATCCTGCGGGCACTTGGGTGGGCGAGGCTCCTTGCCCTTTTCCCCCCTAACAGCGCCTTCCTACTCACAGCTGCGATGGAAGTTTATGTATGCTTGTTGTCGGAATCAATTGGCTGATCGTGCAGTTCTTCGGAGGCGTCCTGGACGACCCGCAGGATCCATGCACCGACTGAATGTGTGCGGACGACGCGGCGTTGCTTGCACAGTCCGCATGGGTTGACATGAGTCTCGACGACACGGGGGCTTTTCACCCACCAGCGTTTCCGTTTCCTGTCCAGGGCTCTGCGCAAGAGGTGGTCATTGCGAAATTCGAGCGTGCCTCTCCCATAAGTTAGAAACGTACACGAGGTGATCTGCATGTTCGGATTCGTCGCCGAGCCGCGCCGAGCTATCCGGTACCTCTCCTCCCCGCCTCCCCCTCCCTCCCCCTCCCCCCTCCCGCCCCACCTCCATTCCCCCCCGCCCCACCTCCGTCTCTCCCCCCTCGCCCCACCTCCGTCTCTCCCAGCCCCTCCCTCCTCCACCCCGCCTGCAAAGCCGACAGGCCTCGCCCTCCTGCTGGCCGCGCTCGCCGCGCGCTGCGGCGGCCTGGCGCTGCCGGGCGCCGCGCTCCAGCGGGGCCGCGCCGGCGCCCTGCTGGCGGAGCTGCGGCCGCGGGGGCGCCAGCCCGTGGCTGCCGCTGCGGCAGGCGGCGGCGGGCCCCCGCTCCCCGTGGCGTGGCGCGGGGCGCCGCCGGGCCCCGAGGGCCCCGCGACGGTGGTGCGCAGCGTAGGCCACATTGGGGGGGACGACGACGACGATGACGACGGCGGCGACGACGACGACGACGGCGACGACGACGACGACGACGACGACGACGGCGACGACGACGACGACGACGACGACGACGACGACGACGACGACAGCGACGACGGCGACGACGAC